GTGTGCCCTGGTGCCCACACATATCAATATAGCTGGTTCTCAGTGGATAAATAAGAATTTATGCACTGTGGTTACTACCAGAGCTAGTGAGTGGATACATTTTTCAACCTATTCGTACAGTCTTGTTTGAAGACCCTACGTAGTAACAGCGAATGCAATAAAGGCTAGTGCTGAAAATTCCTTCGAAAGCCCGTGGAAGTAGTTGCGAAAGACGACAGTGGCACCTCCATAGGGTACCATGCAGCCTACGGAAGTAGACGAATTTATGCACTGTGGTTACTACCAGAGCTAGTGAGTGGATACATTTTTCTACCTATTCCTACAGTCCTGTTTCAAGACCCTACGTAGTAACAGCGAATGCAATAAAGGCTAGTGCTGAAAATTCCTTCGAAAGCCCGTGGAAGTAGTTGCGAAAGACGACAGTGGCACCTCCATAGGGTACCATGCAGCCTACGGAAGTAGACGATATAATCTGTTACCGCTGCCTGCGCTCCGCACTCCGGCAGCAGGCCTACTACACGTTGCGCCCTCTCGCGGCCACCGATCCGGTCATCGCTGAAGTTCTGCTTGCCTACCTTGTGTCCAGCAGTTGACAGTCCGTCATTTGTCGTCGGCGTCTTCCAGGGAATCGAAACAGATGCAGCATTTTTCGCACTCTTTGACGCATTTATTCAGTCATTTGCATGACAAGGAAAAACAATTCACACTGTCACTTTATACAAGCGTTGCTATGCGGAAAACAAATTAATAATGAGCGCAGTATTTACGTTAGCAAGAGGTGCTACAGTGAAGACACAATGTGCAACACTGTTAGCGCGAACATGACATAGCTTTTTCACTTTAAAAGGCTATCGGCGCGCACCAACTGTTACTGTTTTAGTTCGCCAAGTGACTGCTTATAGTTTCGTACACCTCAGACGCAACTATGGCGCGAGAATATCGGTCTTCGCGATTGAAAAACACAATAGTCATGTGATTGTCTCGCTAACATGGTTGATCGTTTCGGTCACGCCGCTATAAATGTCATATTTTCGGGCACTGATATGTGTCCCCATACAAATCTAACTTGTCACATTAAATAAAGAAGCCCGAAGTACGTACTATGGACAGCTAGCTTGGGAGCGAAATGGATAAATACATGTTTTTTATCTTTTTATTGTGGTCTCTGTAAAGACAAACGCAAAAAAATGGGCGGTGGGGGGGGAAATATATTGGTGAGGCAAAAAAAGAATGACGAGGGTAGAAAGTTGGGCGAGTTGGTGATTCATAATGATTAAAAAGCGCGACAGGACAACGGACACAGAAGGAGACACAGCTCTGTGTCTGTGTCTCCTCCTGTGTCCGTTGTCCTGTCACACTTTTTAATCATCATAATCATTTTCAAAAAAGAATAGGTTACAGAATTTCCCCAGAGCTGCACCATTGTCAGATATGACAATGGTGACTCAATGGTTACAATTTTCAGGGGTTTCCAGCCTGAATCAGTTGCAGTTCTTTTCCTTTCCTAGTTGCAGATGACAAAAATAAACAACATACCACCTTCATTGTTTATTCTTTGCGATCTTGGCAGTGATTCAAGATTATGGATGACCAACATGATGGAGAATTGTTTTGGAAACTGGAGATGTTTATATTAGAGAGAAAATACTATAACAGCAAACAGAAATGTCTGTTTCCGTGACATGAAAACACAACAATCATAATTTCTGATATGTGTTACATAGAAGCAAACCCAGTGTCAAGTAAATATGCAGCCTTGCCGGAGAATTGTATGCAAACAGCCCTATTGGTGAGGCAGGCACGTAGCCAGGGGGGATGCCCATGGGGCCTGCCCCCCCCCCCCCCCCCCCCGAAATCTTCCATTTTGCTAGGACCTCCTCTCCCCCCTCCCCCTCATACAGCATTCTGTCATGAGTGGCACACCCCCCTGAAACAAAATCCTGGCTACGTGCCTGCGGTGAGGTATGTCTAAAAAGATATTTAAATTGTTATAGGTTGTGGAATCTCAAATACCAACCTGAACGTATACTACAATAAAACACCAATTCTTCAACCTGTGTAATAAGACAATAATGCAAAATTTTAGTGGGTCAGATATTGTCCACCAAAACTTGAGATTTTAAAGAGTGAAACTCTCCAAATACGTAGTTTGAATTCTAGCTGCCAAAGGTCCTGGAATCACTGGTTCGAAGCAACAGATATTTCCCCCCTCGCCCTCCCACCCTAAAAAGAAAACTGCCTAGAGGTTGTTGGCCACCAGCAGGCTAACAACGTGTCTAAACAAAGTGGATGCTCAGAGGCTTCTGTTAGTCTATGATCAGGCTCCATAAAAATCGAGCAAGGAGCAACCTGCTGACGCACTGGACAACAGTCTTTCGAGGGTCTCAAGAAGCACAGCCAAAAGATTTCATGCCTAGTTGAAAGCTCGTGTCATCCTGACTGGTCCATGCAAATAAACAGTTAACACAATGAATTGTAATTCGGGCAAACTTATTCGTTGTTTACTTACAGACTTGAACCAAAATCTTTAGAGACTTAATAATGTGTAGACCTAGCTCTCTGTAGACCACTTTGGTATTTCTCATTTCTCTTGGCCTCTTGATGAGCTTCCGATACCTGTCGCTTGCACCGTCAAGTTGAACCACGAGTTGAACCAGGTTTTCTTGGTGTGGCCACCGAGATCCTATGATGCCCATGGGATGGACCAGCCACTTCATTGCTCTTTCTCATTTTTGCTGTATGTGTGTTCTCTATCCTCCAGGATCTGCACAGGACAATGTAAGAACACATTAGTTTGTCTCGTCATAACACATACACTTGCAGAAGAGAAAAAGGGCTATGAAATATTGCAGAGGGCTGCTCCTACTATCCTTTTGTTTTTGTTGTAATTCTCTTTGCCCCAGCCACTCTCGTTTTACATTACAGTTGATCGTAGATTAGACTGCATAGATCACTACGGCGGAACCTAGCATGCTGATGGTTACATATTCAGCTGGATAGGTTGGCCAGCAATCAAGGGCACTTCACAAAAAAGTTACCACGGACATACCTTTCGTCTATTGGGGTTCCCTGTCCCTGAGGCTTGTTGGAGTGATTTTCATGCCTTGAAAATCTGTATAAATACAAAAAAAAAAAAAAAAAAATGCAAACGATGCTATTTTGCAACAAACGAAAAAAAAAAAAAAAAGCCTAACGCGAGTTTTAATTGTTTTGAGGGGAGTGCGTTGGGAGGTGTAAAAACTTTCGAAAGAATTACACATGGAAGGACGGGTAGCACATCTCGCGATCAAGCTAGTTGTCTGCATTCCGCCCTTCAAAATTTTGAAAGTGTCTTTAAAAATTAAATTATTTTACTATCCAGCTTTCTACTTATTTCTGAAAGAAATAAAACGTGACAAAACTAGTCGCAGGGCTGTAAAAGAATCTACACGAGATACATTAATAAAAGAGTAAAGCTATACGCACTCCGGAGTGCGCTTCGCGCGGAAATGGCTATACGCACTCCTCCGAGAGATCATGCCACTCGGGCCACCCTTTTCGAACGGCGCGTGAATCACTGGGGCGCTCGTTAACACAGCCCCCCGCCTGCGTTCACGCCGCTTCGCGGCGACAGTATCGGCTGCTAATTACTAAGCGTAACCAGTACACGCCGCTTCGCGGCGTCCAGCCGGCAATCCAAGCCCCGCTGTCCCCGATCGCACCTCCGGAAAGGGAGTCCGATACCATTTAGTTCTGCAAAGTTTCTCGACAACATTCGATTTTTTTTTTTTTTTTTTACTGTTCATTGCAAAAAAAGTAAATGTCGTAAATATCGCGAAATGCCTCAACAAAACAAAATGTATGAAAAAAAAAGAAAAAAGAAAAAACAAAGTAGGCCCACCGCGGATCGAACCCGCGTCTACTTGCGTATGAAGCGGACACCCTAACCACTACGCCATGGCACCGCTCAGGAAATTCGTTGTGTCCACTCTTTTTATACGAGAAAAGCGGAGTGCGTATAGCCATTTCCGTCCGAAGCGCACTCCGGAGTGCGTATAGCTTTACTCTTAATAAAAACGGGCAGATATTAAAAGATGAACTCTGAAATATTATAAAACTGGGAGAAGAATATTTATATAGCGACTACAACTACTCGACAGGATCGACACTGCTGTGAACGAGATCGACGAGAGGTAGAGGAGGTGATATTTCGCCAACAGTCTACAGATCATAAAATATTTGCAGGACGGTTTTCATCCACAAAACCGTGCTAAGAACGCTCGCCGAAATGAAATCACGCAATGAAATCATCGCAATGAAATCACGGTGACATTTTGTAAATTTTAAAAATGAAACGATATATTCAATTACCTTGAAGAGTACAAAACCCTCAAATGGCGCAATTTGTGGCTGGAAGATCAGCTTAGGAAAAACTCACCGTCGTCAGTTGGGATCCGAGCGAAGGGGTGCTTCTTGTCCCCGACGCCGCTTGGGCACGACTTTGCGTAACCGCACAAATGAGGTGGTTCAAAGACACGAAAAGCTTTCCACTTGTCCGAAAGTGCGAGTCTCGCACAATGCAATGATCGAGGCGCCGAAGCTTGACGCTCCGAAGGCGAGCGAAAGCGCAAAAGCACCGAGCAGACCCAGCAGACACACGGACGCCTCCACAACGGTCCACCGATTTCAGAACGCGCAGAGCGCAAGCGCGCATGCGCGCAGGCAGCGGTTTCGTTTTAGAAACGCAAAAAACAAAAAAAAAAGCAAAATTTCGAGAGTGTGATGTTGACAGAAACTTAAAAAAAAACATTATATTTTTAGGAATACGTAATTTGTATTTAGTAAAATAATATGCAGTCATAACTAAAGTTGAATGAGGTTTGGTTCATTATTGTTTTGTTTAGTTTTTAGTAATGAGCGCCTCCGACCACGCGAGCGCTGCTGTACACCTCTATGGTGGCGCCATCCGTGTTCGAGCCACGCAACTCGCTCTGTGTCCGGAGGTTGACTGTGTCTCCTTTGTTGGTTGGTTTTTTGATTCTGAGAGAGCCGGACGTGGCCCACGTGGCGACGTGGGTTCGGAGTTGTGGTGAACTTGCGAAGGTAAGTACTGTACTTTCTTTCTTTGTATTTTTGTTGTGTAAAGCGTACATGGTATACACCTTTCCAAAAAACACTCGACCCCAGGGGCAACAAACCGTTTTCGAGCCCAGTCACTGAGTTTGAGACTAGACTCTCACCGGCGTCCCTCCTAACCCTAACCAAGGGGACTGTGATTTCAGCAGGCGCAGCCTGCGTAGGCGCAGTTTCAAACGCTGCTGGCGGCTAAATTCTCGTCTTTTCCAGCGATATTTTGTGTTTCATGGTACATGTATTTTCCCGAGAACATTGAGAAAGCATTGTACCACATTTGAAAAAACAAAAAAAGCAACAAAAAAAACTTAACTATTTTTGTTGGGTATGCGCGCGACAGAACGAATGCGACTTTTTTTTTTTTTTTTTTTCTTACGATAAGTTTTGACGGCGCAGCGGGATTCGCCGCATGTGAAACGACAAAGCGTTTTGCTGTCAAAAATAAATTGCAACAGAAGAGGTCCGAAAGGCATGCATTTTTCACACTCACAAATAACGTGTTTACCGATGGACAGGACACGGACATACAATTGAGGAAGTGTTCACATTCGAACAATATATCGTACGTACCACACGATGCAGCGTTATCCGAAAAGAATTTATTTGAGAAAGATCTCAAATAGCACAGTCACAGTCGACGACAGTCACATCTTGACGATCGCACGGAATCCCAGATGACTTCGTTTTGGGGCACGTTTCGGGGAGAGCTTCCTTTTTTCACAACCGCACCAAGGCAAAGAAACAAACGCGACTGACCCATTTCTCACCCCAACCCGGACAAGTATTTTTGGAGATAACTGAGGATTCTACGCGGATTATCTCTGGGAGGGGGGAGAACAATGTTCGCAAAATCGCGTCGAGGGCCATTCAACGTCCTTCACCTTTCCCGTGAATGTCGAGCAGAAAAGCTTGAATGGCAGGCACTTACCAGCCTTATTTCTCACAATGGAAGACAGCACAAAAAGGGTACGCAGCATGCATAAAAAAATAAGCGGAAACTTTCAAGAGAGGCGAGAAAACTTCGAATGCAAAACCGCAAAAACGTACGTAGAGAACCGCGCTCAGCGGGTCTTCACAGTCCCAGAGAGTGGCAGAAAATTTCTAGCTGATAGAGGGCGCGAGAGTCGCACCAGCCGCATCAGCATCAGCAACATGGCGGCGGCCTAGGAGCGTTTTTTGGAAAGGTGTATAATAGCGGTAGATTTAATTAGCGGCAAGGCAGGGGATTTAGTTTAGCCTAAGCGGCCTGGCGGACCATGAGAACGACTAGGGTCGGTCTTTGTGCAGATTTTGGCGGGCTTTTTCTTTGTGATAGACGCGCGAGTTTTTGAGCAGCTGAGTAGAAAAGGCAGGAAGATCAAAGGGGACCTTTGGTTGTCGTGATAGAACGTTTTGTAATGCCCTCGTTGACTTTGCTGTATCATGACTACCGTCCGACCGCCTTGGGCACGGCGCCACCGCCGCTGCTATGTCCTGCAAACGTCCCGTTCATTCCCAGGTTGCTACGACTGTCGTCTGCTCTTTTGCCGGGACCGCTACTTTGGTTCGCACCCTTGCATCAACATTTTGAGGAAATCCTGGAACTTTTTCACCACTTTGGACCGCCTTCGTCAACATCAGCTGTTTCCCCGCCGCAAGTCCGGCAACCGCTGGTACGCAAACAAAGCCTACTTGGAGGATCCCTTCAAAAGCTGTCACTACCGTCCGAGCAACTTGGGCACGGCACCACCGCCGCTGCAATGTCCTACAAACATCCCGTTCATTCCCAGGTTGGTTCTTTCTCACCATCGTACCAATATGTTGCGGTATCATGCTCACCCTATTCGTTCGTATAAGTGTATGCTTTCGGCGCGTTCGAAATAAGAGCCATATAAGACAACCAAAAAACACCAATTCAGTTTTGGCCTCCCTTGAGTCCAAAATCGACGATATCGATTTCAAAATTACAAACGTGAAGACAGTAAATGAAAATGTTGCTGCAGTCTCCAAACTTACAGTTAAAAATTCTTCTATGAAGAAAAAAATCGCGCAAAGATGTGCCGCACTTGAAAATCATTCCCGACGAAACAACTTGCTTTTATTTGACATGCCCGATATTCGGAATGAGACTTGGAAACAGTCCGAAAAAAAAATGATACGCTTTTGTGAAAATAGCTTTCGTGTAAAGATCCTCTCCCCTTCGATCGAACGGGCGTACCGAATCGGCCTTTTCAGAGATAACTCTCCATCGCCCAGGCCTGTTATCGTAAAATTTAAGTCATTTAAACATAAGGAACTATTGCTTTCGAAAGCATTCAAACTGAAGGGCACAAACTTTCGGTTGAGCGTTGCGAAGAAATTTGCAAGGCACGGAGAGAACTTTAATGGATTGCGAAAGCACAAGGCCGCGAGTTTAAATTGCATCATGACCAACTGAATATTGCAACCTCGCGGTATATCTTCGGCCCAAGGGTTGGATGTGTAAAGCAGGTTCCTGCGTAGCTCGAGCAAAACAAGTTATCCTCCCCACAAAAGCAACCTTCACCCACAACTACCTTAACGGGGGACACTACCCAGAAGAAAACAATTTCTGCAAAAAAAAAAAAAAGGTTTATTTTGAAAAATGTCATATTTACATCCACCAACATCTAGAGAGTAGTCCCAGAAAGTTTCATTAGTTTACACTGCATAGTTAATTTTTTATCAATTATTTTCGGTCCACCGATGCTGAAGGAAAGGTTGGAACACTTTGAGCGCAGTTTTCTCCATTCCACTTTTTGGCATAAATTTTATTTTAGGAAAACTATCGTTTTGCTATTACATAACTTGGATTAATTCCAAGTTATGTAATAGCAAGGTAATTCCAACTTGGACTTGGATGAAAACAACAAATTTATAAGCGATTTCAAAGCAATGTTTTCCTACGCAGACACACCCACTTTCATCTTTGACCATTTGCAATTTTTTTCGTACTTCACCCAGGTTAACAAAGCTTGGCAGAAATGTTCTCAACAGAAACAAACCCTGTAAATATAATTTAAATCAGACAAATGGTTTAAACATTCACTTTTTTGGGTAGCATGCAGTCACAAATTATTTTAAATAATTTTATTGCGAATGCAAGCAGCATTCTTTCAAAGCAGGAAAACCTGTTATCTGCTGTCCACTCATGCTCCGCAGACAGGGTTGTAATCAGCGAAACCTGGCTAACCTCAGATACCGAAATATCTTAAGCAACTTATACAGGGGTGTGACATCTGCGCCAATTGCGCCATTTTGATACAAACCCAATTTTCTGCGCCAAAACCGCAAAATCAGTCGAAATTGCACCACACTGTGCCAAAGTAACTAAAAAGAAAGTTTGCGGAGACATTAGATTTAGCGGGAAACGAGAGCTTGGTTGGCAACGTTCAATCTCGTCGTAGTAAAGTACACGGCACAAGTACAGGGTGGCGCAAGCAACCGCCGGGTTCGAAGATTTCAGCTTTAGTACCCTTCTCTACCTATGACACGTGGTCGTTTCCCGATTTTCCTATTTTCCGCTGTCATTTGTGGCTGCATTCTACCGGTGTGCTGTCATCTCGCTGTTTGGTTGCGGGAGGTACGACACACAGGCTACCAAGGTGTGCTGTCATCTCGCTGTTTGGCCGCGGGAGGTACGACACACAGGCTACCAAGATTGCGTTTTGAGAGTAAACCTTTTCTTAAAAGTGCTATTGAGCGGCCTCCATTGTGTAATTGTTCATTAGTGTCCGTAATCTTCTCGTCAAAATGGACGGCGCAGTCGTCGTGAGTAATTTGGGTTATCACACACATGCTTCCAGTGTGTGAGCAATCGAATGAATCGGTCGCACACCCGTATTTAGCGTGCATGTGCTGCTCATACTTTTTCTGCCAATTCACTGTTTCTCTTGGGACTCACACTGGTGAGGAGTTTTTTTTCCTATCTGCACGTGATTTCTATGAGCGTCCGATCGATGTCTGGTTGTAGTAAACCGTGCCTTCCCTGTTCATGCTCTCGAATCACTGCTTTAATAAGTTTTGCATTATTGCGCTTTGGCACCAGTTCGTAGAAGCTTGAGGTACCTGGGTGCCCACCTCACTTGCAGCAAGCCAGTGTTTCTTGTCCTCATCTATGCACATTGGACTAGGGTTATATTTTATCTTGGGGCGTATCGGCGCTGATGACTTATTGGAACCAGGGTGGAAAAAAATAACGATTAAAAACTAAAAATCAGATTTATGTGATTTAAATCAAAATTTTTTATGACTTAAATTGCTGATTAGCTGTTGTAACATTTTCTGCTCCTAATCTGCGCCAAGCTGTAGACTTTTCTGCTACGAAGTAGTTCCAAGATGCGTAATCTGCTGCTCCGAAACGAGAATTTTTTGCTTCTAAGCTGCTCCAAAATTCAGATTTTTCTGGTAAAAAACTTGCTCCAAAACCTGTTTCACCTGTCTCACCCCTGCTTATATAATATTGCCTGCAGGGTTGCGGAGGGGGAGTGTCAATCACTGTGAGAAATGGTCTACGCGTTCTGAATCGTGATAGAATGTCAAGTTTTGAAGGGGTCAGGATTAACAGTCCTACTGTCCACATTTTCACTTTTACTTTATGAGTGTTTTGAAAACCTTACACATTCTTATCCAAGTGACATTTTTCTAATTACAGGAGACTTTAACTATCCTCAGATAGCATGGCCGGTTTTTACGAATCTCGTATCCTTTGACACATGGTATAACCTTTCAAACAAAGTCGCGACTTCGTCAGCATGATAAGCACATTTTCTCTTTCTCTAGTGGTTGACCAGCCAACCTGGAACTCATTTTACTTGGATCTTTTCTTTACTTCTAAACCTGATTCCGTAGTTTCAGTTAATATTATGGAACCATTTAATGATATTGTATAGTCAAACCCACTTATGAAGATCCCACATATAATGATTTATTGCTTATAACGACCAGCTTTCAGAAAATATATGAATTCAAGGCCCTACTCATTAAGATTGGTCCAGATAGAACAACCGCAAAAAGAAAAAGGGCTACATTCTGGGCGTTTGGGGGAGACTCTCAAGGTCATTTCCACGGCCACGTGGCATGCTTCCTCGGGGAGGAAACAAAACTACGAAAGCAAAATTTCCCTCCCGGGTCGCCTGCTTGTGCCGGAAGGAGGAAGTCAATTCGCACGCCATGCTGGGTTCGTTGTTTCTATATCTGCAAACTCAATGCTCGGTATGAAGTGGCTAGCCCTATCGCCATCTTGACCGTTCACTTACGTTTGCCATTTTGGTATCTGTATCATGCACATTCTCTCGCATCTACGGACTCGTGTCTGTCGTTTTGAGATTGGAGGAAAAAAAAAATCCACTAGGAGGCTTTATTTAAACTAAAGGGCATCCCAGTGGCGGAAAAAGATAACGGAGCAGCGCTGCGTGGCCACGCAATCCCAGCCACCTGACGAGCTCGCAGAGGGTTTGAAAGACGCCCTGCAGAGGCGTCGGCCACGCACTCGTACATGCGAGTATTAATTAGAAAGCAAGTATTAATTACCTGTGTGGACAGTGAACCATCGTCGGACTAGTGTATGACATTTATTTTTGTGTTGAAATGTTTTATAAAATTTGTTCAATGAGGTATGTGGTAAATCTTCATTGATTTTACCTGCGCGGCAGAATAGGCAGCAATTTCCTTGATTATCTGGAAGCTAAATCTGCCTGCACACTAGAATTGGGGGCGCATTGGAATTGTGCGAACGGTTTCTTTAAATGAAGAGCTGTCAGGGTGAAACTACTAATACCAATTAAACATGAGGAAGATACATAGAAAGGGGGGAGGGGCAACGAAGACTTCCGTCTCCCCTTTCTATGTGTCTTCCTCATGTTTAATTACTGTTACCAATACGCTCGTTTTGTACCTAACTACTAATACCCACTTCATTATCCTTATTTATAACATGTTTTAAAGGTAAGTCCAGATATGACAAACTGCTGATCGTGTTCGTTATAAGTGGGTTTGACTGTATCAATAAACGTCGAATCAGCTATCCCAATCCAAAAACACAGTCTACTGATCAAATGTATCTACATTTACTCTAGGGCGAATGTACAGGACATGTGTCAAAGCCTAGAAGGATTTTCAAGGGCATGCAGGGCAAACTTTGACTCTAGAACAGTTGAAGAAAATTGGAAACTATGTTAAGATCAGATGCTAGAGTTGTGCGATGAACTCATTCCCAACGTAAATATTCGGACCTCTGCTGAAAAATCAAGGTTTTCAAACCATATTAAAAAATCCTTCAATAAAAAGCAGAGAAAATTTCGACAGGCTAAAATATCGCATTCTTTGATTGCATTTGCAAAGTACGACGAAATCCACCAAACTGATACAAGCTGGAGGCTGTTGACGTGCGTGAACGATTTGGCAATTTCTTTAGTGAAATGTTTTCTGAGTTATTTTACTTGAAGGTAGTATACAAACTCAAATGGCTCCAATTACTGTGTGCCACTGGTATTCAGGAACTAATAGAAAATCTTCCAAATTCAGCTCTAGGCCCTGTTAGTATCTCAATGAAACTGTTTATGCTCTGCAAATATGAAGCTTCCTCTCGTCTGTGTTTACCTTTCCAGCAATCCTTACGTACTTGTGAAATCCCTGCCAAATAGAAATAAGCAAAAGTCACCCCAATTTTTAAGAGCGGTCAAAGGAATGAGTTGACGAATTATGGACCTATCTCTTTGACAAGCGTACCTACTAAGATGATAGAGCATGTAATTTTCTCAAATATTTTGGA